GCTTACCTTGGAAAGGCTCTCAAATTTATTCTTCTGCAAGATTAATGTCTCCAGGTGAGTTAAATTGTCACAATTTTGAAAAAGAAGATCTGTTAAATCGTTCTTTAAGAAATTTAAGTATCTAAAGGGACTGTTAGATGAAGGACACAGCATATGTATCATCTCTGATTCGGTTATTGACAAGGCTGCAATATTCATGTTTGCAAATATTTCGTATAGGTCATCCTGTGAGAAGTACATATCTGTGATTAAAACTTTCTTCATTGTCAGTGCTTTCATAGAGGTACCTGCATAGTTAAAGACACACCTTTTGATGTCCGACAGTTGTTCTACACTGTTAATATTGAAGTATTCAATGGATGAGTGCCATACAGTCTGGAAAACTTCAATAAGATAATTCCAGTCCACTGACATATTTGTCAGTGTCAGATTTTGTAACCTGGAGCCTTGTCTGAAATTAGATAATAAAGCTATTAATTTTTTTACATTCTCATTTGTGATTTCTGATAATGACAGGCTTTCTGTAGTATTTTGTATCACAACCCACTCTGAATTAGCTTTGGACTGATGACTATTTGTATACAGGAGAGGCAGGCTCTTAATTTTTTTGTCAGAACCATCTTCTTGAAAATTTTTAGTAACAGATGCAAAGAGGTCATTTTCCACAGACAGACTGGTATGGTTCCAAAATGTTAATGTAAACAGACACTTGTAAAGAAAAAAAAATCTGAGAGATCTCATCTTTTCTGTCATATTGGTTCCTTGGAGATGCTCAATACTTTTCTTTTCTGCCCATATTTGTTCTGATCCTGTAGCAAAACAAACAAACAAACAAAAGCAAAAACCAGATGGTATCATCAAGTGGCTATGCAGGAGCCACAACAGAGATTGATTTTTTTTAAGGTTCCAATTTCTCATCTTTCCCTTTTGCATCAAAAAGCAATGAAGACACCCATTATGATTCAGTAGAGGCACTCTTCATTAAGAGAACTCCACTGAAATTTCTGTTTGGTAAATACGCTGTATTTAATATATGATGAGTCTGTTTCTTACAAAATGGGTCTGATTTCATAGGTGACTAAAATTTGCTGCTTACCTGCAGAATTACTGCTGTGATCCAATGTATATCATGAAGGCTTCCCACAACTGCATAATACACTTTGATCAGAAAGCACAATATTTGAGGTCAGTATGGTCATCCTCTTGTCAGATTCGCTCTTAACGTATACGAACTAGACTTATGACTACAACCTGGACTGAAACACGATTTCTAGTGACTCTACAGTGAGACAGTAATAGCTGTCATTTGTTGGACTAAAGCTACAACCTCAAGGACCACGTCCTCTGTACCATTAACCATTCCACAAGCTTTCTTAGAATTACATTGCTGGGTCTAAAATGTACATTCTCCTCGATCTAACACAGCCTGTATTACAAAATCTCAACAGTACAATAAAAAACAAATAGTCCACCGAGTTCTTCTTTTGCTAAGAATGCATGAAACTAGGCGTGGAAATCATCTCGAAATAGTGTGGCAATATGACAAAACTTTTCCAGCCTTTTTCCAGATTTTCATCAGGAAAAACTATATGCAGTTGTACCATCATCACCCTCAAAAGGCATTTGGGCATGTGCTGAGAACAAAAGACCCTCTATCCTGTTCTTCCAATTCTTTGGGCAACACTACTAATGTGTATATAATCAAACAAAATACGTAGCTTCTAGGGAAATCTGAAAAAAAAACTAACTTCAGATCATTATTTCTTCTTAGGACAAAATTTCAGCAATATCCAGGGACTAGGTGAAGGAGGGATATGATTCTCCCATATGTGCTTAATTTTCTTTCTCATTCCTATATCCTGGCGTTCAGTCAAACTATTTACATGTACCTTCAAATTTTCTTTAGAATATCCTATGAAGCAACAAAATTAACAACTGTGACAGCACATGACCTGTCATCTGGGGGCTAACATTGGAGAAATTACCCTTTATAGTCACATCTCTTTTAATTCAGAAGTATCCTCAAGTCTTCAAACTTGATAAAAAGAGCATTACCAAGATATAACCAGAGAAGCAACCCAGTAGGGTAAGCAAATCAAGATCAGAGCGAGAAATTGTCTGTTGTTTAAAGAATAAACGAGGTGTTCAAAATTGAGGTTTTAAGAGTTTTTCCAACATACACTTGATAGAAATTGACTAAACGTTCATATGAGAAATGTACAGAATGCATTGAGCTATGATGGTTCAGTATTAAGGCATGCACTTCGCAAGTTATGGGCATAATACAAAATTGAAATGTTAAAAATAAGTCTTTCACATGGATGAAATACATCAAGTTAGACCCAATCCTGAACTTTAGAAAAACTATTCCCATTAAATCACTGTGACCTCTTAACTACAGCTATAGTGCTAATCCAAAGAGATTGCTGTTTGGTCAGCTGCTGCTTTGGATAGATTTGCTGAACATAAGCAACTTTACTCTCATTTCTTACCCATACACTTGAAAGTACATCATACTCTTGCTAATAACCCTCTATGGAAAACATGGCTCATTTTCAAACAAGACGCAGAATATAAAACAGTTTTAGCTAACTAGCAACTGCATAAAATCAATAAAATGAAAAGTTTCTCACCAGAAATCTCTGTGCTCCAGAACAGCAGAAAACGTACTCAGGAAAAGATAAAACTTCCTGTAACTCTAGCCTACTGTGCAACAATCCTTGGGAACGCCCAAATTTTTTTTATGAATGTGCGTGTCACCTACCGCCAGCTTATGAAAGGGCATTTGCTTTCCTCCAGATGTATTTTCCACATACAATGTTACTGTAATTTCTGCATTATTTAATTATCATTGAACGATGTGTTTTCATACTTTGCAACAGATTAAGCAGCAAAAAAAAATTCTTCTAACCAACTTTCTGTCTCCATCAAATTAATATGAAAATAAGTCATTCTTTTGAGCAAGTTTTACATTGAAATTCAAACACCTTCTTCTCTGAACTTAATAACGATCCAAGTCTATACACATTATTCTGATTTTTTTTTTCCACTTAGGCATACAAATTTAGTTGTCAAGTTCTTATCAAGGCTGGTTTATAACAGCACTGCTTGTGTTATTTTCATTTAATGGGAATGGAAAAATAATCTCTCTCTCCTGCTCCAGCAGTGTTGTGATTGGGTTAAATAGCGGACACGGAAACAGTGGGTGGGGTCTTTCCCCCCCCCCCCCCCCCCCCCCCCCCCCCCCCCCAACAATTAAAACAGAGCAGCAACTTCAGTACTGAATGCCCAAACACTTGGGTTATTGTCCTGACAAAGACATAAAACACTCTCTCTTTACTTCTGTATAATGTTGGTTAGAAATTCCATCTTAGCTGAGATCTACATACAGAACTGCCACACTACAACCTGCCTTTCTGAGTTAGCATACCATAACGCATTCATGATTTAATTTTCCAGTGATGCAGGAAGCAGAGGAAATAATCTTAAAAATCACTTCTTCACTTTGAAGCTTATTCTATACATTGTATATAATTTCTCAGCTTCAAGTGAAAAAAGGTCCTTCAACAAAGGAAGGGAAAGATAGGACAAGTAGTAAGCAACGGAATACGGACAACTCATACTCTCTGCTGTTTTTCCAAGGAGCCTTATGGAGGCACTCCACGATTCTTTGTCCATTTCTGTCAATACGGATAACAGTATTCACACCTGGTTTCCAAGTGACACCTTATTGTTACACACAAACCTCATCATTGTCTGCCCTTAGCTGGAAAGATTTTACTATCCATCTTTAGGAGGAGATAAAATCCTAAGGTAAGACCTTGCTTCTCCCAAACATTTGTTCCTGTTTTGGAATATAACAGTTCAGCTGCTTGAATGCAACCTACTTATTACTCTAATGAATACAAAGCCACACATATGTTTAGTCAACATGTATTAACTGCCATAAATTAGAGACTCTTACTTGAGAGCACTGCTTCAATTAAGCAACAGTATGAGCCAGCCACTGGCATAGTTTGTGTTCTCCACTTCTGCCTATATAGAATCATAGAATCTTTTAGGTTGCAAGGGACTTTGAAGACAATTGAGTCCAACTGTTAACCTAACACTGCCAAGTCCAGCAATGAAGATAACTACAGGACAGATACAGCATATATTAAGCAGCAAAATAAGCGTATTACCATGAATTGCATGCCATTAGCTCTCATATTTACTACTTAGATTTACCAGTGCAGTCACTAGAAGATGAATATATTCCTCAAATGTGATGCATACTTCTATGCTTTCTTAAAAGTAGCCAAATGTAGTTGTTTCCTTCCACCTTTTCTTTATATTTATCTATTTATTAAAAGGCAAGTATCTTTTCTGAAACCCATTAGGAAGATGCTAACACTCAACTCAGAGTAATAACAAACTTCATTGAAATCTGAGATAAGTAGAAGTGTCAATCTCTATGGCTCATTTATTCCAAAACCATTTGCAATATTACCACAGTGAGAAAATACAAGTGAAATTAATTACTGAAAAGTGAAAGAATATTAGAAAATGCAAGTGCTGAATTCAAGAAAGTAATTTAGAAACTTAGGAAACGAATACATCCTTCTATCCCAATAGACAGACAGACACCTTTACGCACTTACGTTAATTTCATCCTGAACTAATAACTTTATATCACAATAGTGATTAATGTCTTGCGATTCTAAAACATGCATGGTTTTGTACAGAATCTGCAAAACTGACTATATAAGATCCACTTTACAGTCAAAATTACCATCGATAATGAGGAAAAACAATCTCCAGCTATTGAGCTTCATCCATTTTAATTCCTCCTACGACACGGCCCTTGCTCTTCCAGAAACTCCACTGAAAAGCAGAGGAAAATCCCTAGGGCCACTCTAGATTTCACTTTCAATAAACACATCTAAAGATTAATAAATTAAGCGAAAAGACTCTAGAACTGCCATCACGCCCTGATACTTAAATTCACATTGAAACGCCTTCAAAATAAACCTATTATTTAGTGATACAAACATTTGTTCTGCTACCACCTACCTTAATGGGAAACTTCAGAGACTTCTGCCTGGTAAGTGTGTAAGTCATGTAGCGTGATCCACATTTGTGAAGCACGCTTCTGAGAACTGGGGATTTATTTCGTGACCTCCTATAGCAGCTCTCCTCAGTGATTCACAGCATGTGTGATTTTGCTTCCTGTGCCACCAGTTAAGTATTTCTTTCTTCTGGGAAGGAAGAATAGCGATCGAGAGGATGCTATGACGAATTGTGAAACTTCCTTTTATCACAGTAAAAGGGCATGCTTCGCCTTTAAATTAAGTGGCAAAAAGAGGAAAGGGTATAAAGGACCAGACAGAGACAAGAATCACAGGCTGTTGCGCAAAAGCCTGCAATCCTCTTGTTCAACTATGTATTTCCCATGCTGTGGGCACTCCATGCAGACACTAACTTACTGGAAATGTGTGTATGCACCTCCCAGATTCTTTTAGTGGCATTTCTTGTAAACGCAGATATAACGAAGGTGCAAAGTGGCATCTGAAAAGGTAAATCTCAGTTGTTTAATTCTGCAGCCACGCGCTTCACTAGGTGGCTGTCGTGGTTTTAGGCCGATCCAGCAACTAAACTCCACACAGCCGCTCTAATAAAAGAGCTCAGGGTCGAGACAAGAACAGAGGGAGCACCCACCAACCATGGTCCCAGGCAAAACAGACTAGGCTTTCTTAAAGCAAAACAATTTATTA